TGTTCTCCCCTCTCCATCCCTCCAGCACACCCCCTCCAAGACCCCACTCACCACCCCTGCCCACCCCTCTGAGACCCGCCCTCACCTAACCCTAACCCTGCACTCCCCCCTCTGTCCCTACGGGAGCCCCGCGCCCACCCCGCACCCTGCTCTCTACCTCAGAACTGACATTACCTGTTACCAAGTCACTGACAACACGGAGAAAAAGGATCTTGAACGCTCGTGGGTCCACGTGCAACCAGCTAAAGCACAAGATGGGATACTCAGGGGCATCTGCTACAGACCCTCAAATCACACGTGGGAACAGGCCGAGGGGCTCCTTACACAACTATCTACACAGCGGGGGGGGAAGGGGGGGATTTCAGTCCGAGCGGCGTACATGGGAGGTCTCATGTTACCAGTCCCAAAACACCCTGGGAATAGCTACAGACCACAGAGAACAAATTTCCTACCTCAACAAATCATTGCATCCCAACCCAGGGGAATTCGACATTAGACCTCGTCTCGACCACTAAGGAGGAACCGATCACAGAAGAAGTGACTCACCCTGGGCAATTCGAGACACGTGTCCCTAGGGGTGCTCCGCCGGGAGGCGTGTCCGCGTCCCCGCGCTGCTGATCAGAGAACTTCGGGAGCCGTGTCCGTTGGGCCCGCGCATGCGCCGTCTCTCCTTGTGCCGCGCCACGGGGCTAACCCCCACCCCAATTCCTTCTCTACCGCAGAATCATAGCCAGACGATGAAGGAAAGGGGAAGAGGGCAGGTCGTGGAGCACCCACAGGGACACACATCTCGAAGAACCATCGTTACCGCACAGGGCGAGCCGCTGCTTCTTCGAGTCACGTCCCCATGGGTGCTCCATTGTAGGTGAGTCCCGAGCAGTATCCCCCCCGGAGGGCTGGGACTTCCGACTCGGATGGGTCACAGATGAAAGTACCAGGGAGCCAAATATGGCAGCGGAGGCAGAGTCCCGTAACATTCTGCCAAGGTCCGGCTCGGCACAGCTCCGAGATGGGGCCATGCTTTAAGAAGGCGACAGCGGAGGAGACCCATCTCCGAGCGTGTATGGATCGAGTCCGTGTCGTGAATCTGGCAGCACTTAGAAAGTCACTGGGCTGATAGCGCTGAGCCATTAGACCTGCCCGCCAATGCAGGGGACCTCCTGGAGGCCTTTGTCCTAGCGAGGTAGAACGCAAGGGGCTCTCCTACCGTCTAGGGTGTGGAATATGGTCTCCCTATTGTCCCAGGGAGGCAGGAAGGTGGATTGACTGGTTCCCATGGCACAAGGAGGCCACTCTAGGGATAAACCTTGGACGCTGCCTTAGCATGACCTTGTCGGGGATGAATATCGCGTATGGGGGATGTGCCATTAAGGCTGCTATCTCCCCTACTCTTCTGGCTGAAGTAATTGCGACTAGAAAGATCTTTATCAAGCATTCGTAAAACTACAATACCCACCTGGGGAAGTGAGGAAACAGATTGACAGAGCAAGATGGGTACCCAGAAATCACCTACTACAGGACAGGCCCAACAAGGACAATAACAGAACACCACTGGCCATCACATACAGCCCCCAGCTAAAACCTCTCCAGCGCATTATCCACGATCTACAACCTATCCTGGAAAACGATCCCTCACTCTCACAGACCTTGGGAGGCAGGCCAGTCCTTGCTTACAGACAACCCCCCAACCTGAAGCAAATACTCACCAGCAACTACACACCACACCACAGAAACACCAACCCAGGAACCAATCCCTGTAGCAAACCTCGTTGCGTACTCTGTCTCCATATCTACTCTGGCGACACCATCAGAGGACCCAACCACATCAGCCACACCATCAAGGGCTCATTCACCTGCACATCCACGAATGTTATATATGCCATCACGTGCCAGCAATGCCCCTCTGCCATGTACATCGGCCAAACCGGACAGTCCCTCCGCAAAAGAATAAATGGACACAAATCGGACATCAGGAATGGTAACATACATAAGCCAGCAAGTGAACATTTCAATCTCCCTGGTCATTCTATTACAGATTTAAAAGTCACTATCATTGAACAAAAAAACTTCAGAAACAGACTTCAAAGAGAAACAGCAGAACTAAAATTCATTTGCAAATTTAACACCATTAATCTGGGCTTGAATAGGGACTGGGAGTGGCTGGCTCATTACAGAAGCAGCTTTTCCTCTCCTGGAATTGACACCTCCTCTTCTATTATTGGGAGTGGACTACATCCACCCTGATTGAACTGGCCCTGTCAACACTGGTTCTCCACCTGCGAAGTAACTCCCTGCTCTCCATGTGTCAGTATATAATGCCTGCATCTGTAACTTTCACTCTATGCATCCGAAGAAGTGAGGTTTTTACCCACGAAAGCTTATGCCCAAATAAATCTGTTAGTCTTTAAGGTGCCACCAGACTCCTTGTTGTTTTTGTAGATACAGACTAACACGGCTACCCCCGATACTTGACTAGAAAGACCGTTTTCATCGACAGAGGCGATAGCAAACAGGTGGGCAGGGCCTAGGCCACCCTTTTAATACTAGATTTCCGTCCCAAGACGGGGAGGGAAGTCTAGGTTGAGGGAAGACATTCGTTATTCCTTTGAGGACCCTTTTTGTGGCTGGGTGCGACCGTACGGAGGACCCCGTATAGAGTGGTGAAAAGCTGTAGCAGCTGCTAGGTGGACTCAGACAGCTCAGGGGTAACTCCAATTTCTTAAGGGTCAGAGCATATTCCAGAATCTGCAGAAGAGTTGGGGGCTCCGGACAGATTTGCTGGGACATGCACCAACGCCGGAACCGGGACCACCTCCACCGCTAAGTGCGTCGGGTGGAGGACTTCCTGCTGTGGAGTAGGAACTCTTGTACGTCCTT